TCCTTAACGAAATTAATTAACTTAATAACCAAATCAATCATCACATTATTTTGCTATAGAACAACCATTACGTTCATTTACATACTCACCATATTATATTGTAATCATATAACCTCATCACATACTTATGGATATACCATATGCCTTCTAACTTTTAATTACATCAATTTTCCTTAAGATCACAAAATAATAACCTTTATATTTATCATGTGAACCTTTCACACCTCAATATACCACCAAAATTTCATATGTTAATTTTCTAATCTAAATAAATTCCAACTCTACCATTCTCTACTCGCCTTTTTATTTCTCGATTCACATAAACATACCTAAATACACATATCCATTTAATTATATTTCTTAAGCAACAAATAATCCCGCAATCGGTAATCATAATAAAGTTCATCCATATTTTTCTCACATTCCTTGTAATCAAACCACTCATAAATAATCAAAATAAGTGGAATTACCGTTAATTTTCTCGATGCCTAAAATACACGATAACACATTGTCATTTATCAATCAACAAATCATCATTTGTCTTTCACAATTTCTTATCATATAGTATAAATATACACCATTATGATTTCTATTATCCTCCCATATAAGTGGCCACAAATCACCACAAAATTTTTATAACACTAATGACCATTTGGCTCCAAAATAATTAAAATTCCACACTGATTATAAAATCTATAAATTTGAATGCCCAGGAAAATCATCAAGATCTGTTCAAATCTTACTAGGTTACATAAACAAAAAAGAATCAATTTCCACCTGTATAGAAATTATGGGAAAATAAATGAGTTGATAGCTCAGTGAGTGGAGAAGTTCGAAATTAATTATACTATTTCACTTTTTACATTTTTTTATCGAAAATCGAGTTCATATCATTTAATAATTCACAAGATAAAATCATGTAATTATAACCAAAAGTGAAATATTCACATAAGGTCGTAAAATATCATCTCAAAATCATGATATAAACATCAGTTGATAACCATACTATAATCTCATCATATCAAACGTGCTGAAAAATCCACCAAAAATGTACCTTCTGATTGAAATATATAATCCGCCCCTCGGGCTAAGAACTTTCGCCACGGGTCTTTGGCCCCTCCGTGAATGAAAGTATGTCTCAAAGACCTCTCATAATCAATTCTAGAGTACAGTCAAGGCCCCTCAGTAAACTATATGTACACGGTCAAGACCCCTTCATCCCCGGTCCATGATCCCTCAGTGTAGTATAGAACACGGCCCTCAGTGAACTAGAAGAAATATATAATCACGAGTACGGTCGATCTCAAAATCATATCTCATATTCCAATTCACAATGTAACGTATACAATCTTTGAAATCCCACATGTATCATAATAAAAGATATTTCCATAAAAACCATGTAATTTGAACACATATAATTGCACATACTTTAACCATAAACTTAATTTATAAATACTTTAAAAATATGTATATTTTTCCACTCACAGTACTATGTTCGCAAAATTAACCCAGTTGATAAGCTATTCTGATGTCAGTGTCGTCGCCTGAAACACGATATAATTTTTAAATAAAGAATTAATTATTTTAAATAATTTCAATAATTAAATAGACGATACCCAAACTTAATCATTTCACGTTTAAACGATTTTCATAGTCTATTTAATCAATAAAACTAGTTTTTCTTTCATTTTACTCAATTTCATAGTTTATTATACTTAACCCCTTCAATAAAATTGAATTTAATTTAACAATCTAACAACTATAAAATCAAACATAACTTGACAATAAGTAACTTTTTACTTACCTTTCAAAATTGAGGAATTCAAGCCTAATAATGTAGACCGCTTATTTTTTAACAATATAGGCGAACTTTCCTATTTTTTTTCTTCCTTTCCTTTCCTTTCCTTTTCTTTTTTTTTCTTCCACTTTTTCCTTCATTTTTCTCCCTGCTCTCGTTTTCTATTAGTGTGTGTTGTGTGTGTGGTTGTGGGACAAAATGAATAGATTTTAAACATGGGTGGATTGATATAAATCAATCCACCGCCTCTCTCTTTTGTTTTTTTATTCTTTTTTTTTTTTTTTTGTATGACATGTTTGACTTTTCTTCTTCTTCTAATTTTTTTTAATTCTTTATTATAACCAAATTAAGGTATTACATCCCCCTTTTTAAATCTCTTAAAATTATAGCCCCCCATTTGGCCCCCCATTTTGTATAAATGAGAATGGGTGGAATAATATTTTTTTGAAAAATGATAGGTTTAAAAAGAAAGAAAAGTTTTCAATTTAAGTGTAATATTATTTTATACAAAATTGTGTGGTTGAAAATTGGATAGAAAAAAATGGAGTGTAATAGAATGGAAAATAATGAGGGCCAAACGAGGGCTATCCCAAATCACCTATAGTTGTTGACGCTGTCGCTTTACCCCCTCTCCAAATCTAGGTAATTTGACAATGTCATAAATGCTTCCCTATTCAGTACTCTATGTTTATCTCCAACGTTTGGAAGGTTTCTCCATTTCATGATCAAATTAAGGTTGTTGGTGTGTGGAATTTCAAATATATGCTCCTGTTTACGGGTGAATACTTTTGCTTAGCGGGTACATGTCCTGTTTTTCGTAATAAAATTGATTACTTGTAAATAAGGGGGAATGGTGGATGGAAACACTGATTGCTTTTTAAAATTATTGGTACAATTGCTGGTTTTTATTTGATCATTTTTCTCTATTCATTTTCTTTTCGTGTGTCTATGAGGAATTTTTCTTTTTTCGATATTTGGGATTTTGAACACCAATTTGGTTTTGCTTATTATCTTGTGTATGTAGGAAGGATATGGATAGGTCATAATATATTGATTTGGTTGTGCTCGCGTGAGGGAGGCATTTGATGAGATTAAAACCTGATTTTGAGCCAGAGGGAACCATTGATTTGGTAGTATTGACGCAAAAGTTTGGGAGGAGAGTTAGCGACATGAAGGTGAAATCCTCCTGCACATTAGTTAGAATTGTTGGATCTTTTTAGAAAAAAAAATAAAATAAGAAAGAGAATAATACCTTAACATTGTGGAACATGATATATTGCATGAGATATGATTTGGAAGAATATAACATAGAAATTTTTAGTTATCAAATAACAAACAGTTGGCTCGGCTCAATCGGAATGTTATTGTTAATTTTTTATCGATTTATTTTTGTAGATATTCCTATTTTTGAGACCTCTAGCCTTCTGCTGCACTTATACAAGTCTCGCTTGCAAGTTGCTACTCACTTCAGGAGTTGGAACTTAGCTATTAAGTAACTGAATGTGTGTGCACAGATGTAAGCTTAGCCTAGGTCCTGAAAAAGCAAATGGGTCAAGCAATATTTTGGCGATCAAAATGTATGTACTTCGCATTTTTGTTTAAGTTTATTACGTTAATTGTTATGTTTATCTCTGTATGAAGCGCATACTCTTTTCTTTGAAGATTGACACTGTTGAAGGCAAGCCATTTGCACAAGTTTTATTCTATTAAGCTTTTAGATGGTGTATACTCTCGTTCGGTATTTTTCTCAATTTATTTATCTTTCTAATTGATGAGTAAAACAAGAATTGTGCGTTCTTTTTTGCTTGAAACTTCTCTTAACATTTCTAATATCTTGAATTGTGGAGCCTGTAGATTGTATATCAATAAAAGTAGTTTAAGTAATTAGCTTTATTGTCAATTCATTTATATATTGATGTTAAGGAATTCTTTTGATTGAAACAGAGCAGAAGACTACTTCAAGAGAGTTGTGGAGCTGAAGGATGTAGAGGCGTTGAACAAATACGCAAACTTCCGTAGGTGAAGAAGGATCTTTGGGCTGCTGAGGAAACCTACTTGGACACCATTAAATAATGAAGTTTCCATGTGCTGAAACATTTAGTGCAATGGCAAATTTTTTGAGCAGGCTAATGATGTTAGAATTATTTAGATACACTCTACATTTTGACATATTTTATTAAATTGTACTCAATATTTGTGTTTATTAAAACTATGGAAAATATAATTATATATGTATCAAAGTATATAATTTTGTTATTTAATTATTATAGGTTTGATGGTAATCACGTCAATAAACAATTTAAAAAAGTAAATTGACTGTTTTAATGTATGCTTTTTTACAGCGTGCATATGTATGCTTTTATGGCATGCATTTATGCCATAAAAGCATGCCGTAAAAGGAGGCGAGTATTTATAGCGTGCAATAACATGCCGTAAAAAGTGAAATTAATGGCATCCATTTAAATGCATGCCGTAAGAAAAAAAAAAAAAGAGTACTTACGGCATTACTTTATATGGCATGCACATGTATACCGTAAAACACTTTTTATGGCGTGCAATGCAAGCTGTAAAATGCAAACTTTGTTGTAGTCCAACTGTTGTTATGCAGTTGTACTGAATTCTTATTATTTTCTTGAATGTATCAACCAGCATATAAGCTTATTGTACTGTTAAAGTAAAGACAGTATTATGTTGAAAACTGTAAATTTTCATTTTCTGATTTGATCAATGAAAATATCATCCAGGTGGCATTTCCCGTTGATGTTGGAGACATTTTTTTCGAGTTTCTACATGTAAAAAAATTTGGCTTATAGAAGTGCCACCTAATAAACACAATAGGGGGAATGGGTGGTTCTTATGGACAATATTTTAATTACATGGGGTCCACCCCCAGTGTCTATAGCAATTTTGTGAAGCCCATTTTCTGTACAAATGGTTTAAACCTTTTTTTGAACCACATAATTGTTCCCTTCTTTTTAATTTTACTCTGTTATTTGATTTTACCAGTTTTGTGCTGTGATCTAAGATTGAATGTCTTGTTATCACCGGGATGGAAATATTCCCATTAAACTGGTTTTTTCAAAATTACTTTTCCCCCACGCTCATTTTCGATGACACATTCTTTTAAAAAATGTTAATAATAATTAATCATTGTTTAACATTTCCTCACTTCTAAATACTTTTTAACTCCATATTCTTCACAAGAAAAAAAAAACACTTTTCACAAAATCATTTCTCCAAATTCAACTTCACACAAAGGCTATTATCAGTAAACTGCTACTTACAATTTAAAGGAAAAGCAAGGAGGAAACAATATTGCGCTAATGAATCATTGACTCGGTATGCAGATACGATCCCTTCCCACGAAAGCAAGTCTATTACACAATTTATTCTGATGATGTTAGAAGTTTTTGATACTAAGATTCAAGAGGGAAATCAATTTTTAGACTACTTGCATTGAATTTCCTGGCAAGCTCCTTGTCCTCCGTGAGAAAGAGCTGTCTTTTATTCTGGGCGACTGTACAAAGTGAGTAGGGCCCTCAAAGCTTCATCATACTATAGTCCATTACTTCCACCAGAAAGTCTTGCATTGAAAGAAATTGTTTACATAGAGAATAAAATGAGTGATTGATCAAGTCACTAACAAAATAGCAATGATAAGCAGTGTGGATGATATATATGCTGTATAAACCTACCAGCATCCTCCTTAGAGAAACAAAGTGGAGGTGTAATTCTGAGAACATTTTCATAGTAGCCTCCCTTTCCAATCAGTAATCCCATATCTTCATGATCGAATAGAAGTTTAGTGTATTGTAAGAGTTATAATCTTAACACCAAGACAAAAAGCAAGAAAAATGAAAAACAGCTGATACCTTTCATTTGCTCCATCAAATGCAGAGTTTCGACCTTTGCCGGAGTTTTGCGTCGGCGGTCTGTGACTAGTTCAACCCCGAGCATCAGTCCTCTTCCTCTCACATCCCCGATAACTGCATACAAAGATATCAACCAAAGAAAATTATAAGTTAACAAATTATGCTTTTGCAAATAAGGTTCACCATGTAGCATATGTGGTAGGCTAATATTGACCTCTACTCTAAGGGAAAAAGGGTTCCGGAACACTCATTTAAAATTTGTGTACGCCTCTCGCCTTAATGTAATGGGGCATTTTGAAGACTAAGCTTTTAAATAAGATAGTTCAATGAAAACTCTACTTTCATGCTTGGCTTTGAGGGCATTAAGACGCTGTTTCAGGTAGGATCCAACAACATGAGCATTCTCCTGAAGTTTTTCTTTTTCGATCACCCTGAGAACGGCAAGTCCTGCTGCAGTACATACAGGATTCCCTCCAAAGGTGTTAAAGTAAGTTCGATGAGTCAAGACCTCAGCAATCTCAGGAGTAGTTACCACGGCACCAAGAGGAATTCCATTTCCGATACCCTGCACTCCGAAGGTGAATAAACCCGATTATTTTCTAAACAAAGCTCAAGTAATGTACTCTTAGGGAAGGAATTAAGGCGATGTTTATATTACCTTGGCCATTGTAACTATGTCAGGCACAACTCCATGGACCTCAAATCCCCAAAAATGGCTACCTGTGCGAGCAAATCCAGTCTGAACCTCATCAGCAATACAAAGGCCTCCTGCATTTCTGATGATGCTATATACTGCAGGCAAGTAACCTGGAGCTAACTCAACAATCCCGGCAACTCCCTGATATATAATGAAATATCTCATGTGAAAAGGCATGATAATTTCCTCTTAATTAGTGACTTAAGATACTAATCAACAAAATTTCACCCTACGAAACATGCGACAAAGGATCCAGAGAAAATCATTGAAATATAGAAGATGTTGACCTCAGAAAGATGAAAATTATTTTTGCAAGCCAAAAGGAGTTTATCCCTCCCAATTCTGGTAGAGTTTACACTTTTTGGGGGATTTTGGGTATGTTATCGAAGCCAAATCTCTATATAAAGAGAAAAAGATGGAGTTTCCAGCATTCTATTAGCCGGAAACTGTTTCTTGATTGGAGGTAGTTTCAATTTCCGAACGGTCCAACCCCAAATGTTTTTACACTATGCAGTTTTTAGGAGTGGTAATCTTTCAGTCTTTAGAATTTTTAGTGCAAAAGTGCATCCCTTTTCTATTGGGCAATGGTCTTATTTTAGGCTATTTTAGAGGTATTTTAGTCATTTTTGTGAGTTGACATTCGTTATTTTGGAGGTCATGTTCAAATCTCATTTTTTAAAGCTTGTAAAGGTTTGTGCTTTGTAACACTTGTTCAAGTAGTTCAATGTGTGCATGCATGGGTTTTAGTGCACTAGAGTCCTTGTATTCTGTCAAAATTTCCAATGAGGTTCCCATCCGTATCCGAGGCCAAACCAAGGCCTTTAGTCATGTTGCCTGTTGAGGCCTCCAATCATGTTTCTAGCCAAGTTTTAGAATTTTGCACACTACGCTGCTTAAGAGAGCCTCAGTGGCCAAGACATCTTTCGTTCAACTGTGCCTCGAAGGTCAAGACACAAAGATTCATAGACATGTGAGAATGCGATGGGCCCTTTTGTGGCTGATGCGAAATCCAGATGGACCATAATTATTTAGGTACTTAACGGAAGGGACTACCTGTATAGCTTCAGATATAAAAGCCGCAACATGGCCACAAGTTCCGAATTGAATTAGATCTTGAACATCTTTTGCATACATTTCACCATCTGAACCAAAGATTCCTCTGTATGGATCCGGGTTCATGGCATGATGAACTCCACTCTGTTCGAGTTAAAAAAAAAAAATAAATAAATAAAAGAATCGGGAAATAATCCAGAAAGCAGCATGTGAACTACTATTGCAATATGGAATTTTATGCTTCATGCTTTGTTCCAAAGAATAGACTACAGGTAGTAAATAGTTTGCACACATTGTCAAAATTCTGTCCAAATATTTTACTTGAACAAGTAGATCGGTAAAATATTAAGCGGGGGGAAAAACAAAAAAAAACAAAAAAAACCAAAGTTTTACAGAAGACCCTAAACATGAGAGCTACGTTCACTTGTCACTGCAAGATGACTAGGAACTGCGTTTTTACCTGTACAAGATTGAATTTCCAGTTACATAGTGCAGTGGCCGCCATGGTCCCTTTTCCGTCACTCTTTTCTGTTTATTGCGCTGAAAGCTCGAAAACAACTGAATACGTAAACACATATTATTATTGTGCTGAAATCTCCAAAACAACTGAATACAAAATTAGTTGCACGCAATTTTATGCTTGGATAATTGTTTAAATTCTGTCATATATATATATTCTGTCGCTTATAACTCACAGGCTTTTCGTAGAAGTAGTATGTAGATGGGCTGAGAAACTCTTTCCTCTTCTTCAAAACCTCATTGGCTGTCGGTCCAGTGTACAGGGCGGGACGTAGTTGGAGAAGGGCAGTTTTGGAATAACGTCTATGTTGTTTTCCGGGAAACATATTGCAGCATTTGTATTCTGGGCTGCCAAAGAATACACACGTTGCCAACTTTGGAAGTGTTTGAATTCCCATAATGCACTTCCAATGCCAACGCTGAGCATCTTTCTTCAAACTCTCTTTATAGATCACGCAATTGCAATGAAGTAAGAGGGTAAAGGAAACCTATGCACATCAATGGTTGTGTGTATGCATTTATATAGGCATCAAATCGACTCTAAATTTATTGAAAATTATTTTAATTTATTATTACATGTTTTAAAATTAGTAGAATATGACTATAGCTACTGGTTGTGTTATTTAATTCTTATGAATTAAGAGTAATGTTATTCAAAATCACTGTCAGTTTAGATGAAACTAATATGATATTAAATGAGAAGTATAATTAAATGAGTCATTTAGGACTTGTTTGAGCCCCATTAAATTGAAAAATGTATTTTAGAGTAGTAGATTGATAGAGAATATGTGGTTAAAAAATAAGTAAAAGTTTTGAATTTGATTGTAATATTATTTTATTGAAGAATGTGTGGTTGAAAAGAAAAGGAGAATGTATTTTTAAGGAAAGTGAGAATCAAACACACTCTTAATTTTACGTCATTGAGATTATCACAATACACCATCTAGATTAGTATAGACAGCATAATTAATGAATTAAAATAGAAATACTATAATTAGAATAATGGATTCTTGCTCAAGAATTATCTCTAAAAGACTCCTGAATTACTCAATAGTTTAAATAGTCAACCACTAAAATTATGCTCCAAGATGCTCTTCAAATTAATAATATAAAAAAAATAATGTTATTCATAATCTGCAACTGCAAGTAGTCATCTCATGTGATAGCTTCTTATTTGAGGCATTAACTTGTTATTAGCTTGTCATTCATTAACACATTAAATAACGAACTCTTATGTAGTATGACTATCGACAGTCACTGACTATGAATAACATTATTATTTTAAAATAGATAGTAGGTTTGATTTCCTAAATTTGGAGAGCCAAACCAATTTTAATAATTAAATGCATTCAAAATATCCCAAAATTCAATACGTCATATATTAACCAACTGAATAGTGAAAAAGAAGGAATATAATATAATAATTTGGAGAGAAATTGGTAAAAATAAAATGAAAAATAATAATTATATATAGGGAGTAGGAAAATTAAGCTCCTATTTGGTAAGGATTAAAATCTAAATTTTGATTTAAATCATATTCAACAATTAATTTTAACTAAATATTTGATGAGATCCATAACTTTTCAATCACACATTTTATCAACTTTTCTTCAAATCTACTAAAAATTTGATTTTAATTCTTACCAAACTGAGGCTGAGTTTTAAAGATAAAGGAGTCGTTGGCGTATTTAAAAAAATTTATTCTCTAAATTTATAGATACTCTCAAAATTGTAAAATATGCTATTTAAAAATAGAAATTTTTTTGGAGATACTCTTAGTATACCAATTTGATTTGAAGAGGTTAAGCCTTTTATAAATGGTTTAAAAAAAATTAATATAATTCATAATCCTCGATTACTGTTTAATGTAAACTTGGTATATCTATACCAATTCCATCGAAATAGGAATAAGTTTGAACATGAGTTTTTTAAATGGACCATACTAGATGTACCTAATTTTTTTTATTTTTTTTTTTACCAAATGCTTTACATACACTCACAATAGGGGTATGGGGACCACATGTTGGGATTATTTTATTCACGCGAGGTTCACGTGCTTGTGAGAGTCGGTAAACCAAATTATGTACACTTAGAATTATCTTTTTTAAATACCCCGCCCGCCACCACCAAGTCTTTTTTAAACGAAACTTTAATTACTTCCGTACTTCCGCTAAACTGAGTTTTTTTAAGTCGTTACGCAACTACCAACAACCAAGTCTTTATTTAAACGAAAATTAACTTGAATTACATTTTGTATTGCAGCAACCAAATAAGTCTTTATTTATACCAAAACAACTTTTTTGTACCACTGCAACTTGTTACTGCAAGTGGCATCAGTGACAAAATACAACTATGTTGACCAACCAAGTCTTATTTAAACAAAAAATTGACTTAATTATTTATATTACACCGACCGATCAGTCTTTATTTAAACGAAATTAACTTTAATTACTTTTTTATTTCTGCAATTTGTTGTTGTAGAATATCATAATTAACTTATGTTAGTTTAAATTATTACCATTTTGTTGTTATAAGCGGTATCATCAATGGAATATAACTATGCTGACGCTAAAGATCCAAATATAGCTTTTCAATCTGTTTATTCCACTAACGTTGCATTAGAATCGGTCTCGAGAATTTTGAGGCCCTAAGTGGGTAATTATCATGAGGCCTTTGACACAATTTTTTCATGCTTATCAATATTTGAATATTTAAATAACATAACATATTTGTATTTAAATGAAAATTTTATACAGTCCAAAAGAGTAGCAAACACGAAAATTGAAGTAAATTATATTCTAACAACTTTTACTTTTAAATGTGGTAGTTGAACATGTCATCAAAGACAAAATTCTATATACGCCAATAAAAAATAATCTAATCTAATTCCTAATTAAAGTTACATCATTTAAATAAATAAAATTCTCTAGTAGCCTTTCAAGAATCTATTAAATATACAGTGAACTATTGTGTATTACTATATCAGAAGGCACCACAGCCAAATAAATGCATGCTTAGTTCTCAGATTCTGAATCATATTCAAACTTTTCTTTTGTATTAACATGATTAGTCCTCTGTGCATTTGTTATTTTCTTGTAAGTAATTGTTTGAAAGTCGAGATTTAAACTACTTCAATCGTATGCAGTTAATTTAAAATTTGTATAACTCATTAAAATGACTATAATCTTTCGGTCTTCATAGATGCACACTCCATGATTTTGTTTTCTTTATTCATTTTAGTTTTTCATTACTTTGTAATCTAAATTCTGATTAATTCAGTTGGCTACAAACGGTAAGATTTATTGAGAGGGCAGTTCACAAGCCATCAATTATTCTTTGTCTCTTTTAGCCTTATTTTTGCAAAACAGTGAACAAAGCATCACAAATTATTTCTCTCTTTCGACAATACTTTCTGCACAAAGAAATAAAGTCTTTTAATTTTTTGTGAGGTCCCTCAAATGTAGCTAGGCCATTGCCTAGTTGACTTTGGTTTAGGGCCGGCCTTGCCTCGCATTCCCTTATTAATCATCAAATTGCATGCATGTCTCGGAAACTTTAAACTACAAACTCTAGAAAAGGGAATTATTGATTTAACTGAGCTTGTTGCTGTTGTTTTTGGTGTCCATTGAATAATTCTTCCCACCATTTATGTTTGGTTCATGATTAGAAGATGGAAGTTTTAAAATAAATTGAAAGATAATCTACTTAGCGTTCATTTGACACAACTTTTGAAAGTCAAAATCAGCTTTTGGGATTGATTCGATAATTTTTTGAAAATATTTTGTCTAACTAGAAGATATTTTAAAGGAAGTTGATCTAACTTGGAGCCCTAGAAAAATCTCAGCCTTGCTTATGAATAAAGGAAGTGAAAGCAGATTAGTTTCAAGTGAATACGTATTGTAGAACAGGAAAGATGAAATTTGATAATTCCACATTATAAAACAATTAGAAAATTACAAAAATGAAACAATTCAATGTATCTTGAGACTAAATAAATTTTAGCATACCTACCGTGAATATGGACGTTATCATCATAAAACTTTTAAAATGTTTAATAGACAATGACATACGAGGAAAACTTCTTGTACTTTAACGCTTTGAAAATTGATATTCTTCGGATAAACCATGCAACCAATGCTTCAATATATATATTGGAAATGAGAATACAAAAAGAATTTTATTTTAATAATTCTAGTAATTTTTATTCAAAATATCAGTGAATTAAAATAAAGAACTGTATGAAAGTATTGCTTCAAAATAATTTTATTATTCTTTTATGTTATATTCCAATACATAAATCCATAAAAAATGCCCTCTCCAAACTTGGATAAGATACAAAAGTGCAAGGGTCAACAATGATCATCTTCAACAGATAAAATGTATTCAATATGGACCAAGCTACGTCAAACCCTCCTTGACAGACACTCATGATAGGAGGGGAGTGGGTGCACTTTTTTTTGGCATTTTTTATTCAAGCAAATCCTATGCTGGCCTTGTCACATGTGAGTATATGCCAACCAACATGTCAAAACTTTTCAGGCAAAGAAGCTTTAATGCTTTATGGATTCAATATAGATAGGGTAAATATATTAACACCACAATTTTTATTAAATACACTACACTTTATTACAATGCGTATCCCTAAAATTTTCTTCTTTGTACACTCATGTTCTCAACTTTTTTTTTTTAAATTTTTTTTATCATCAACCTTCTATTAATTTTCACATCTTGTCTATAGAAATGCTTTTCATCCAAAATATTTGATATGACAACCAAAAAGACATATTTCTCTCTCGTATTTTTATATAATTGAAATAAATAACTAATATAAAAGTTAAACAAAATATTTGTCAATCTTTTCAATGCATGTTAGTAGAATATTTGTATGAAAATCGTGATTAAAGACAAAATATATTAATTAATTGAAGGTTAAGAATGACAATCCAAGTTGACAAAGATGTACATTTTACATATTCATCCCACTTG